AGTCGCTTAACCAACTGAGCCACCCAGGCGCCCAGCCTGTCTGCTTTTCTTTAGGCATGACGTTTTGTTTTGTTTGGGTTTTTTTTTTTATTTTTGTTTTCTCTAATGCTTGGGCTCATTTTATTTTTTAGTAATAGTATGTAATTTGTACCTGCTTTTGCTATGAGGTATAGAACTTGGAATAATTCTTCTCTATCATTAATGACAAAATTCATTATTTTGCAAATGTCTGGGAAAAGAAAATGAAGCAAAACAGCTTAACTTCTGTACCCAAGAGCACTTGGCACATCCTTGGAAATGCCCTTAAGACCTTCCATGGCCTTGAGCCAGGTTTTGTTTTGCTTGTTCTGTTTCCACGTCTGTCCTCTAATGTGGAACGAATAGTTGGCCGGCTTTCAGAAGATTTGGGCCCTATCATCTGCTACCAGACCAGGTTGTGTGACCTTGAGAAAGTCTCTTCACCTCTCTGGGTTTGAGTTTATTTATCTCTAAAAGTTGTTTTTCAGGTCTACAGACCTTATGATTTTTTATGACTGAATCTGACAGACTATTGTTTGCTTTCGTGTGTGATTTCAGTTCCCTTTTGTCACCATAAAATATAATTTTATAGCATGGCTATCAATTATGTTCGTAAAATACATGATTTTTAGAAAGGAAAAAAATTAAGCCTGCTATGAATAAACCCTTAAGCAGAAAAGAGACCGATGAAAGACAGTGCTATTTCTCACTAAATGCTGCCTTTCAGATTGTTAAAATGAATGTTTTGTTTTGTATTTGAAACCCTCCAAAGAAGCTGTGGCTGTTTTAGCCATGTAGTATTCCTTGCAGTGTTACCTAAAGCTCCCAGATTTCACTTGAGAAATGCTCTGAAAATGCTGACAAGGGGCGCCTGGGTGGCTCAGTTGGTTAAGCAACTGCCTTCGGCTCAGGTCATGATCCTGGAGTCCTGAGATCCAGTCCCACATCGGGCTCCCTGCTCAGCGGGGGGTCTGCTTCCCCTTCTGCCCTCTTCCCTCTCGTGCTCTCTGTCTCTCATTCTCTCTCTCTCTCAAATAAATAAATAAAATCTTTAAAAAAAAAATGCTGACAAGAATAACTGTGATCGGGCGCCTGGGTGGCTCAGTCGTTAAGCGTCTGCCTTCGGCTCAGGTCATGATCTCAGGGTCCTGGGATTGAGCCCTGCATCGGGCTCCCTGCTCAATGGGAAGCCTGCTTCTCCCTCTCCCACTCCCCCCCGCTTGTGTTCCCTCTCTCGCTGTGTCTCTGTCAAATAAATAACATCTTAAAAAAAAAAAAAGAAAAAAAGAATAACTTTGATCATCCTAACTCCCGGCTGTGAATTGTTGTCCTGTCTTGAATTTATCATTCACATGTGTGAAAAGAGGGCATGGTCTGTTCCATATAATACTGACTAGTTCCTCCCCGTCCCCAATTTTCTATCTTTCAGTTTTGTGAAAACACGAGAAATGTCCTCTCAGTTTTTACAGCTTCTTAAATTTCCTTCCAGCATTATTGATCTATTCCCTGTGGTCTCTCCTTCCCCTTTGTTTTCTCATCAGTGTTGGGTGTACGTGCATGCGTGTTCAGTGCTTTTGAAGTTAACCAAGAGATTTCAAAGCAGTGAACAGGAGGCAGTCACATAAAACCTGTTATATACAGTCTGCTGGGAACAGGGTAGATGTGAGAAGAAGGGCTGGGGGAATTAAACACACACATGACATTTATTTTTGCAGAAATAAAGTATTTCTGAGAAATCATTCATTCTTGCCATTTCATTTTTGGGTTTTGTCATCCTTTAAGTTTTTCCTTGGAAGCTTCTAAAATGATCTGTGAATGTTCTTAACGACATTTTACAAGCCAATTCATAAAGATTTAAAAACAAGTTCATGTTCGTATGAAAAGGGCACACACTCAACTGTCGAAGAAGGGTGAGTGAACTGTGGTACTTACACAGAGTGGGGTGTGATGCAGCTGTGACCAAGATTGTGCGCAATCACTGTGACCTGACATGGAGTGGTTCCAGGGGAGATTAGGACACATGCAAAAGAGCATATATAGTATGCTACCTTTTGTGTGAGAAGGAAGGGAAAAATAAGGCAAAACATAAACATAGCTGTTTATTTTTACAAAAAGAAACCCAGGAAGGATAGACCAGAAAACAGTGAGGTTGGTTACCGCTAAAGAGGTGGAATGGGGTGGATAGCATATGGGAGGGAGAGACACTTCTTTGAGAACCTTTTGTTTGTTTGTTTGTTTTAGCTTGAACTTTTGGAAGGATATTAACATTCTACATATTAAGAAATAAAAATAAATCATTAAGAACTGAAAGCACATTTAAATCAATGAACTTAACCATATTTCAAATGAATATCTTAACTGCACTAAAGAAAGAGAAAAACGTGAATCCAAGTAGGATATAAACACAGTTTTTAACTGTATACCCCATTCATGGATGGCAGAGCAGGGAGGGAGAATTGCAAACAAATCCTGAAATCTGTCTGTAGATTTGTTTATTATAGTAGTGTGGATAAAATAGTCCTGAAACTCTAATAGATATGCTATAGGATTTAGTATATGAGTAAATGTGTTGACCTGGTTGGAGGAGAAAGACAAAAATCGATGGGAAAAGGCAGAAGGAAACCTTTGGGGATGGGTTGGAATTAGATGTATCTGTATGGAATTAGATGTATCTGTATGAACTTAGGATTTGTAAAATATACATAAGTATGCACATATGTACAACTATGTGTAAATGTTTATGTATGTATGTATATGTGTGTTTTGTATGTAACTATATAGTGAAAGAATTGGACAACACTGTGATTGTGTGATCAAAATCAACATCACCAGTGAGGGGATGCATGGACATCGTGCGACTCCAGAGGTGATATCCTGAGGACACATCATCAGCCATGGAGTATACTAGCAGAGAATGCATAACCTGAATCTAATCATGGGGAAACATCAGACACATCCAGAATGATGAGCTTTCTATTTAAAAAAATGGGGGAGGGAAAAGAGTGGTTTTTTTTTAAAAGATGTTGATGTTATAAAAGATAAAGAAATAGTATGTAAAAGGTTCCAGATTAAGGTAGACTAAAGAGACATATCAACTAAATTTAATATCTGACCCTACCCTGAATCCCATTGCGGAGGGGGAAAATGTTATAAAGAGCCTTGTTGGATAAATTGGAAACATTGGAATATGAATGGGAGATTAGTTAAAAGTTTATAAATGTTAAATTTGCAGAAGTTGGTAACTGAACTGTTGTTACATAAGAGAATGTTCTCATTCTCAGGGAAAGTACACTGTCTGCTCTTAAGGGAAAATCATTTAGTATAGGGTAAAGGGCCCTCAAATGATTCAGAAACAGTCATATGTACATGTGGATATATATGTTTATCTATATCTATATTTGTGTACAGGCACAGATAGGAGAGAGAGAGAGAGAACAAACAGAAATGATAAAACAAATGAGGTTTCTACTGTTGTTAACAATAAAGGAGTCCAGGAAAAGGCTATGCATGTTCTTTGTATTATTTTGTTCTTGCAACTTCTCTTTTAAGTTTGACATTATATCCAAATGAAAAGATTTTTTTCAAAAGAATAAAATAAACACTAATATGCTTACCAGTAATAAAGAATAATAAAATTAGTGATTAAAAAGCAGCTCTTGTTCTAATAGAACAGATTTTAATCATCACTTTCTATTAGTATGCTTATAATTTATTTGCAATTAAGAATAATTGACTAGTAATGCTGAATCTGCTCAAAACTGCTCAAAAGTAATAATAATATAGCAAGGCTGTGGGAAACAAGGCTAGTATTAATGAAAATATGAATGGGAACACATTAGAAAGTCTGTTAAAAAGTAGATTCCATTTACAGTAGCAATAAACATTAAAATGTATACAGAAATAAATATAAAGCATTTCTGAAGCCTATTTGAAAATTTTAATAACATGTCGATTTGAAAATCTTAAAAACATCTTGGACAAACAAAATGATTAGATTAAATGGAGAGGGAACAAGTTCCTGAATAAGAAAACTCAATATGATAAAGATTGCTCTCCACATAAGAGTCATAAGCAAATAAGACAATGTGATATAGGCAGATACACCAATGAACAGAATAGAAAGGCCAGAAGTAGACCCACAAATTTGTGGAAACATGATATAAGAGAGGTAACTTTGCTGATAATGAAAGTATGGACTATACAAAAAATTTTGTTGAATACTCTGTTTTCCATATAAAAAATAGATGTTAGCTCACACCATAGAACAAAATTAATTCCAGTTGCATTATAGATTTAAATATGAAGAACAGACGTTTTAAAAGAACACTAGGAGAATGTCCGTGTAACTTCAGGATTGTGAGGGAATTCATAGGTTAGATGTGTACACTGTACAGGGAATAATTGATATATTTTACTACATTAAAATAAAAATCTCTACAACAAAATCCTCATAAAGCAAAGAGCCAACTCACATACTGGGAATAGGTAATCATTATAATCAACAAAGGATTGTTTCCAGAGTACAGGAAGAGCTCCTTAAAATCACTAAGGAAAAACGGGCAAAAGGAATAAATGAGGAGTTCATAGGGCATGTAGTTTCTCATATGAACTGTTTCCTAGGTAATGATAAAATGATCAAAATGATCAAACGATCTTCGAGGGCCAAATATAGAAAAGCAGCCATTGATCTTTAGCTATATCAATGAGCTTCCGAGCCCATACAGTAAGTTCTTGATTGTATGCATAGCAACACCAGGTGTTTTAATATCAAACTGTGAAGGTATTTCAGTAGCTAATGTTATATCATGAAATTTCGTAGGACCAATCCTTTCCGGAGCATGAAAATGGTTTTCAGGTTGGAATGAGATTAGAAGGCATTGACCCCCGACATCCATCTGTATTCTGTGTGCTTTCTGTAGCTGAGGTAAGAGATGGTGTTATTGTCTTGGGCTGAGTGCACAGTGACAGAAGAGAATTTTCTAGAGAATAATGAATTTGAGTGCTTTCCATTATAAACAAGTTCCAGTACATCATGGATTTATTTTAGTCAGTGATGGGTGAAATATGTTTCTTAATGAATTTTTTCCTTCTCTGAAGATTAATCTTTTAATAAGTCTTTCATCGCTAGCAGTTACCCTTGATTCAGTTGGTAAATAGTTTTCATCTGAGGTTGATAACAATCAGTGAATCCCACAGTGTTGCTTTTGTCTGTTAAAAGAGACATAATTATTCAAGTTTTAGCTGAACTAATGAGAAATGTATATGAAAAATATCCATGCACATGAATTATCTATTTATATAAATATAAGCATTTTATGAAAATTATGTAGAATGAAGAGCCATTGATGAAAGTAAATGGCTTATAAAATGTAATATTTACTAAACATTTTACGTTATTAAAATGATGGAAGACGTCTATATTTTTAATCATATCACATAAAAGACCCTATTCACTTAATTTACTGATTGATTATTGCTATTAAACTTGATTAGCATGTCTTAAGGATGTATTCTACACTGTTTTATGATTTCCCTTATTGAGTATGCTGGATCCATACGTTAGAGTTTAAACAAAGCCATGCCCATTTTGTTTTGCTCTGCACTTTAGCTTATACTATCGTGGGACAGCAGGAGATGGGGTTTCCAAGAGCAATATTTGACAGGTATTGAATGAACAAATAAACTCTTCAATTGATGGAGATGTAAATTGACCTCAGATTTCTAGACTGAGTAAAAGGCTTAATTTTTTTACAGAAAAAATTCTGGATACTTGAAAGATCGTGTCTGTTGGCATTTTGTTTTACTCAGATGTCATCTCTAAATTTGCTTTTTAATACAAGCGCATTTAGATGGGAGGATTGGTTTATATTTGTTGATGGCACTGACAGGATATATGAATATTTTGTTAATTTTGTGTACCCTTCAAACACATGACACTTAGTGAAGGATTATAAACATTCCATTTTACAGGTGTGTGGTTACCGCCTCAGACTTCACTTTGATGGTTATTTAAGCTGCTATGATTTTTGGACCAATGCTGGTTCCCCTGACATTCATCCGGTAGGGTGGTGTGAGAAGACCAAACACGAATTGCACATCCCTAAGGGTAAGCCAGGATGGAAAGAGAGTTGGTTTTATTTTAACAACATTTCATGAAATACTAACAAGAGAGCCTGGTGTGAATTGATTTTCAAAATGAAAGTTTAATCCCCCAAAAGCAGTAAAACTACAAGGATGTGAATAAATGTCTTTAAAAGAAAAGTATCGGGACGCCTGGGTGGCTCAGTCGGTTAAGCATCTGCCTTCGGCTCAGGTCATGATCCCAGAGTCCTGGAATTGAGTCCTGCATTGGGCTCCCTGCTCAGTGGGGAGTCTTCTTCTCCCTCTCTTCCCTGCTCGTGCTTTTTCTTGCTATCTCTGTCTCTCTTTCTCAAATAAATAAAATCTTAAAAAAAAAAAAAAGAAAAGCACCAATGACTGCTTAGGTCAAATATACTGATAAGGTACCTACGGCAGAAATAAAATCTTATGACTTAACATAAAGTTTATGAAACCTTAGAAGGAATGAAGAAACTTATTTTACATCACGGTTGAAATGAACTATTTCACTTAGTCACTGATGCTGTATAGTGAGGAAAATTGATTCACTGTATATTGTTTGTTTTAAACAAATCATGGAAAAGAGGTAATGATGAAAGAGAAGAGGATTTCACTGCTTCCTTTTGATGGGAATCAAAAATCTCATCTTTGTCTCTTGTTATGTGTGAGAGGAACCTGGGCTTGGCAGATGTGATTGAAGCCTTTTTTATTTGTTGTGTGCTGGTGAAGTGAGGCTTTGATCAGTCAAGATGCCCATGGGCCCATTTCCTTGCACAGCCACCTTCTGTGTATGGGCTCCTACTTGGATGCTAGAGTATTTGATGACGGTGGCACTTCTGGGAGTCAATATATAGTCATTTTACTGACCAACTCAGAGTGTCCTTCTGGGATCCATCCCTGAGACCAATGGCAGAATCCTTAAGATTGCCGGATGTCATGAAAGCCGGTCACAGGCTCATTTTTAGTAGGTCTTTATGGGGCCCTTGCTGTACGCAGGCACTGGGGATAGAGCCATGAATAAAATAAACCATCTCTGTCTTCATGGGGCTTTCATTCCAGGGAGGCGAAGAGTCAGACAAAGGTAAGCTAGGGTGTCAAGCAGTGACAGGGTTGGGGGTGGGGGACAGAGAGTGTGCTCAAGAAGGGCGTGAGAATATGAGGCCCCACGGATAGGTGGATGAGGTGAGGGAAGTCAGCGAGGCTGGGCAGAGGGCTGTCAGAGAGTAGACGCCCTGGGGCTGGAGCCTCCAGCCGGCCCAGTGAGGAATCTCAAGGAGATGAATGTGGCTGGAGCAGAGAAGCAAGGGCAAGAGGTGGGAGATGAAGTTAGAGGTGTAGCCCTCGCCTTGGAGGCTGTGCAAGGAGCCTGACTTTTATTCTGTGTAACACTCAACCAGAAACTATTTACTGAGCCCCTCTTGTTTGGGCCAGCACTGTGTGAGCACTTTAGGGCACATGGAGGGGAAGATCAGTAAAGAAGGGGAAACACGCAAAGATACGCAGCAGAAAGCTGTTGCTGCCAAATGGTCTTTGGATTGTGAAGGGGTTTCTGTAATTTTCCCAAGTGCCTGGCACCCTGGATTGTTGCATCATCAGGACCTCTGATGTTCTCAGTGACATGGCTTCTTCAGGAGTGATGATGAGCTCAGGAACTTTTATCTCTTCCCTTTGCCCATTTTGGAAAGCCTTACTAAGAGATGAGACTCCCATCAGGCCACCAGGGGACCAATTCTAGATCTTAATGAATTTAAAAAATTTGTAAGGGAATGATATGCATAATGGGAAGTCACGTCAACAGTTTTGAATTTTATATGTTAAAAAACATTGAAACAATTTAGGGATTTTAATTTAAATCATTTGTGGTCTGCTAAAGACATTGAATTTATGACAGAAGACTGAAGAAGGCTAATATATTGAATATGCACATGGTTATATCCTGTGGGTATTTTGAATAATCCATACTTTTTTTAGGTTATAGAAAAGATAAATTTGTTTGGATGGATTACTTGAAGGCCTGCAAATTGCAAAATGCTCCCAAGAAATTATTCAGAAACAGAAGTTCTGTAAGTATTTTCTTCCTCAGTATAAATCAGATTTCTACTTGAGCTTAAATTTCTTAAAATTCACTATATATTCCGTTGTATTTTTTCAGAATCCTTAGCTTCCTATGACTTTTCTCACTTAATTTGTCAGTTTCCAATAGGCGTATCTTTCTCCCCCTTTTAAATATACAATTCCATACTTTATTTAGATGCAGAGAGTTGAAGACTTTATATTTAAATCCTGCCAAAATTTAAAATGCCTTTTGGAAATGTTTTTTCTTTTTGCTTCCAGTGAGTTACTTGTTTGAACTTAGCTTTGGTGTTTTAAGACCAGTAGTTGATACCACAGGTAGGCTTTGAAAAACCCAGCCTAGTTGGATTTACGTGTAATGAGAATGAGAGTGACATTTCCTACAGATTCAAGGGGCATATGAATATTTGGGTAGAGCACACTTGTTTTGCCATCTGTGTCCCCAGCAGCCTACCAGCTCTTCAGGAGAGAATGAGAATAAGGTGCAGCCCCTGCCTCGTCTGGGCCCCTGGACACACACCAGAGAAGGGGGCAGGGAAGCCTAAGCATTACCCTGCCACCTGCCACCTGCTGGCTGTTTGTCCCTTTGTAGGACACTCACCCTGATCTTGAAATCAATGTTATACAACTGCTCTGTTTCATATAATTGTACCAAGGAAAGAGAGTAATAGAAATGGGAAATTGCTTTTAAAGATGTAATGTGCTAAAGAGAAACAAAAAGCAGGGTTCAGTATAGATAGTAAAGAGGTGGAAAAAACCGTCTTCTAGTCCCCAGATACTGTATGTATACTTTCTAAATCCCAGGACTGGCTAATTACACTGGTACAAAAAATGGGGTTTTGTTATTGTAATCATAGTCCTTATTGTTTTTTACCATGAAAAAATGTGTATGGATACTAAAAAAAGCATTTGGATTTTTTTCAAGTATAGGTTTATTTATGGATTCGTGCATGTGTTAAATATTGAGAAAGCCACTGTTTTCAGATCTCATCAAAGTAATTGATAAATTTGGTGCTAAAGAGCCTATCTTTACTACTTCTCCAAATACTGGTATTAGGAAACTGTTCAAGTCTATGGGGAGCAGAGAAAATTATTTGATACTCCTGTATCCAGTAAACATCATATTTTAAAATTAATACGATTCTTTCTAAGAACTGAAAAAGGAAAATGAAGATGATGAGGGAAATATAACTTACTTGCCAACAAAAGAGAAAAAGTACAAGGTAAAAGCTACTAGTTTCCTGGGTTTTGTTACGAATTTAACTTCATAACAGTTTGTTGGAATATTGGTACTAGCATTTGCTGGCTTCATTCTGGAGGGTAAGTGTTGCCTGTAGACTGTTCTGATGCTAAACATAGAAGTTTTGACAGCAGCTCAGTCCTATTTGGTGTCCTGTTTCTTTTTGTGCCTCTTTCCTCTGGTGCTGTGTTAGAATGGGCCAATGCCTAAAGAATTTCAGGTTGGAATGAAGCTGGAGGCCGTCGACAGGAAGAACCCTTCCTTGGTGTGTGTGGCAACCATAGCCGATATTGTTGAAGATCGCTTACTAGTGCATTTTGACAATTGGGATGATAGTTACGATTACTGGTGAGACACCAATGTGTGTTTTATTTTCGTGTGTTCATGTTTGGTGTTAAGAATTTATTTTCCTTCCGGTACTGTCACTGTCCTTGCTGTTCTTAGAGTAATGAACATCCGGAATTTAGTGGCCAATTTTTCATTACCTTGTGTTCCACATGAATTGCTGAATTAAAGTGCCCGAGAAACTTCTCCACTCTATGAGAGGTTATCTAATGAGGCCTCATCTGAAATAATATGACCAAGGTCAGGGCACTTCACTATGTTGTGTCTAGTTTGTAAGGGAGGCATTTCTATGAAGAGGAAGTTAAGGACTTGGAGTATTTTTTTTTTTTCTTGAAAAATGTTGAACTCAGCCTGTCATATTTTTGAAAGGGAAGATTCACGGGGAGAATGGAGTGAATTATTTGAAAGCATGTGGGGAGCAGAGAAAATGTAGGCTACGATACCATTAAACTAACATTGCATGAGTTAAAAAAGGTTTTCTGGGTAAAAACCTGAAATATGGAAGAGGGAATGGCAAAAATCATTTTTGTAGCATTTCTTCACAGTATATCCTGAATAACCGCCAGGTGTCTGCCTAAGGCTGCGGTTCTTCATGTACATGAAGGGGGCCCTGTTTTCTTCTTTGAACTAAGAAGCAGAGCATGGATTAATTGTTCTATGTGTCTTAGGTAGAATGGTCTGTGTTCCTTGAATGGGAGAAGAGGAAATTGGAGGCATATAGAGTCTGGTCTGTCCCATTAAACTTTAGGCCAGCCTATTAATATTTTCCCTTGCTGTTAGCAGGAAGTGGTAGGAGAGGCTTATTAAAATGTTCACTCTTTGGGGATAACACTGGCAGTTCAGGTTCTAGTCAAACGCTTTTTGAAAATACTTTTAAATTTCAAGAAAGGTAAAAGAGAAGTTTGGTCACTTAGCTTATAAAACAATACTAAAAATTACTTCTAATTCTATTTAGCTATAAAATATTTTAGCTATGTAGTTACATCTTCCATGGTGTCTCTTAGTATCTAGAATGGTCATTACTCTTGGATTCTTTCTCTGGCATTGACTTGTGTAGGATCTGAAATAGAATCCTGTTTTGCAGGTGTGATGTAAATAGCCCTTATGTTCAGCCAGTCGGTTGGTGTCAGGAGAATGGAAGAACTCTGATAGCACCCCAAGGTAAGTGGGCTGGCTGCATTTTCTTTGAAGGCATCTCTGTGTAAGTGGCGATGGCTGTTCTTATTTTTTTGTTTATGCAAACCAGATTTTAATACAAAGTGTATGATAAAAATACTGTGCAAGGTTGTTTTGATCACCCAGTAACCCACGTGTCTGAAATCTGCTCGTCTTTCCCATAATGAAAATGGACTTGGTTTATAAAGATGTATTAGGCAGCCATTTAAAAAAATGTTGCTAAAAATTTTTATCCAGTGAAATGCGTACCATTGCTGCAGATCATTATTTAAAGCTAGCTATTTCCGCCTACATAATCTATCTTATAACTTATGCTAATCCATTAATTGAATCATAAGTTTACTAAATATTCTTTGGAGTTAAATGAAGAAATGTAGAAATCTAAGGAGTGAGAATTAAGCATGAGTCTTCAGACTCGCCAGACCTTTTCACCAAACCAACTTGATGGTTCTGCTAAACACCACAGCAGGGACTCTTTCTAGTTATTTATATTTTTTTCTCATTACAGAAATATTAAGCATTTAGAAACTTTCTGTATCAAATTTATGTTTTCTGATTTCAAAATTAATTAGATATAGTGGTTGTTTAAGCTTAGCATTTTTAAAATAAGTATTCTAGGAGAAACTGATTTCTTTCAATAAAAAATGTGCAGGAAGAAATGTAGAGTATGAGGGCATCTGTGAGGGGTCCGACTCCTGGTTTGGGCTCAGGTCGTGTTCTCAGGGTGCTGGGATCAAGCCCTCTGTTGGGTTCTGCACTCAGCGTGGAGTCTGCTTGAGATTCTCTCTCCCTCTCCCCTCCCCCTGCCCCTTTCCATCTGCCCCTCCCGCTCGTGCTATCTCTGTAAAATAAATAAATCTTTAAAAAAAAATGTAGAGTATGTAACATGCCATTCTAGAATGGAGCAGATGTTTAATGTTTTGATTTGAATGATTCTGGAAATTTGATGTTTTAATGTTTTTTTTTCTTAATACAGAAAAATGATTAGGATTTGTCATCAAATTTATGAGTTCAGTGAAAAAAAATTCAAAAAATTTAAAACAATCAATAAACCAACTCAAACCAAACTTTAAAAAAACACAACCTATTTAAACTATCCAATTAGTCTAGAAAAGTTTTTATAAAATATATAACATCTTCTCAAATTTGATTTTGATACGCAGACAGATTTAGAGTTGTTTGTCCTATTTTTCTATAAGACTGGCTAAAACTAACTTTAATGTTTTTCAAGATGAGGTGAAACGTTCGTCAGATCTCAGAATATGTGGTTTGAATTGGTGTGTCTGGAGGTCCAGCACACTCTGTTTCCCATTTTCCTCTAGTGGAATAACTTCTCTGCTACCTGCAGGTTATTCTTACTACACTTCATGGATAGTCAGTGGTTAAGTTCATCACCTTGTCTCCTGGTGCTGTGTCAGCCTGGAAATAGTGTAGCGCTTTTAAGAATTGTATGTCCAGAATCTTTCCATCATTAACATGAACTGAGGAGTGAGGGGGCAAAGCTCCCAAACCCCAGATAAGGCCAAGGTTTTAATTAAGGCTCTGCTTGATGGGTGTAGGAGACTATTTAGTTCATAAAGTCAATAAAAGAACAATGGAACTCAACCCAGATTTATGGTTTTCCCCATAGAATTGATTGCATATACAAACATCGTCACCATGCCGAGTAAGAGTTGTAGCCAAAGACCAATTTAGTGATAGAAAGTCTTCACTTCAGGGTCATATTTTCTTCCCTAAGATGTAGGTTTAAAATTCTGAGGAGATTTTGTCCTGATATATAATGTCTGAATTAGAATCTTCCAGTTAACCTACCTCTAAACCTCATCTACTTGTATTTTTTACACATTACGGAGTGTTTTTATACACTAAAGTACTGCCCTCCCCAAGCCCCAATTCATTTTTTTTTAATTTTATTTATTTATTTATTTATTTATTTTATTCTTATGTTAATC